GTGATGATGTTCCCACCGAGGGTCGAACCCAGTGCCCATAGTTTCAAACCCCAACCAAAGCGTTATCTACTAGACCACTTGGACCGCGAGAGCTGGCCACCTCTTGTGCAACGGGTCATATTAATTTTTAATTGAATTTCAGATTTTTGCCCGTCGATTGATTGTACCGAAGTGCTCGGTCTATGGTTGACCTGTCGGCTTCTTGTGCTGAGATGCTTCGACGATGCCTGCGCATTTGATTCGAACTTAATTTGTGGATGGTGACTAGCAGTGGAATCCAGGACAACAGGCATTTCATCCTATTTGAGACTCGTCAGCTAGTGGATATACCTGCATGCCCCAGTGAGTCAGTGATGATGCTCCCACCGAGGCTTGAACTCAGTGCCCTTAGTTTCAAACGCCACGAGAGCCGCTGCCTCTTGTGCAACGGGTCATATTAGTTATTTAATTCAATTTTAGATTTTCCCATCGATGGATGATTGGACCGAAGTGCTGGGTCTCAGGTTGACATGTCGACTCCCAAATAGGACGAAATGCACCTTGTCCTGGATTCTACTGCTAGTCACCATCCACAAATTAAGTTCGAATCAAATGCGCAGACATCATCGAAGCATCTGCGCACAAGAAGCCGACATGTCAACCATAGACCGAGCATTTCGGTCCAATCAATCGACGGGAAAATCTAAAATTAGATTAAATTTGCCAAGAATTATTTTCTAAGGAGGAAATCAAAATTAACCAGTATTAACCATATTTTGTGCATCCGTCTATCTAACAGAGGATGAAAGATGATGACAGTTCACAATCCTTGTCAACGATATCCATTGACTGAGACTACCAAATACAGATTCGATCTAAAGAATGTTTTGTGTTGTGCATTTTTTTCTAAAGAATTTGGTTTTTATGATGTTCAATTTTCTAGACAATTTGAAATTTTAAAGGTCATCACCAAAAGTGTTTGTTTTTTCCACGCTGATTTATTGACACGTGAGGTGACAGATAAAATGGCTTAGCAACAAAGCAAGTATCTGTGTGTGTATATATGGAGACATATAGAGGCGGGAAAACTTGATATGAGACTAAACAATGATTTTTCACCATTCTGTAATAATAATAATAAAGATAATTATTATTATTATTACTAGGATAAGAAAAGTGAGCGAATAAAATCATAAATAATAATCATTGATACAACCAGACAAGTTCACTGTCTCCATGTCACCATGCCAAATGACGATTATTCATCTATAGGGTAATAATTGAAATAAAAAAAGAGAAGGTGAAATTCAAATGTGGATCAGAACAGTAGTCAAACCAGTCGAATACCTTCTATCAGATGAATTCTATGAGACGTAACTGTGAAGTTTTTTTTAAGTTCGAAACCAGTATGGCTAAATAAAGGCGCTGCTGAAACTATCAACAGTCTGATAATAGATCACTTCATTGAAGAGTTTTTCTTTATCATCTGTCAGGTTATTGAATAAATTACTAAAGGCCTCTTGCGTCGGTGACACAGCGGTAGAATGCTCACCAACGATGCAGGCGGTCGGAGGTTCCATCCCCGGCCGATAAGGCACTCCTCCTTTGCCTCGCTAAGCCAGTATTAAGACTGGTATAGAAGGGAAGGTTTGCCGTGAGGCTAGGAACCTCATCCCGTAAAAATAAATATCACTGCTCCCGAAACTCCAAGCCTCTGGCTTGAAGGTGCCCAATATTTCACTGGGGGGAACGTAAAGGAATAAAACTAACCAATGGCCTCTAGATACAAAACAACACTTCAAACAGCAGAAGTCGTTACAGTTCGCTTAAATAAACAGGAACTCTCTATGCAATGGGACTAATTCTTTTTGGACATTATGAAAATTTAGACCTTCATCCCTGAATATATGTGTAAAACTTAGACACTGTGGTAGTAAGTAATTCCATATTAGTTTGTTTATAAGATGTCTCACACAGTGAAACAGTATTACTTACTAGACGACAAAGTTTCGAACAAAATTTATTATTGTACATAATCGTATCAATTGTAATCACACGACTTTGAAACTTGAGTTTCATAGTTTTCTTTGTCTTCTCCTATTTGTCGTCGTAGAGGTGGAAGAATTTTCCAAATATCTGGATGCGCAGACGTCGAATCATTCCTATTGCACATATTCCCTCTAAGTTGATTCGATGAATAAAATTTCTGTTATCAATCTCTCCCTCCACCCTGTTACATTAGATTTTAAAACTGTCATCTTATACTTTCCTATTGTAAGGTGGCGTGTGTAGCTCCATATAGTGTGTGTGTGCTTTAGCTGAACTATTCTCTAGATTTCTTCTTATCTTATTCTGGTCAACCAATCTAGATTTTGCAGCTGGGTTTTTATGGTCCGCTAGTCTGACCTATGTATCTGACCTGATAATCATTCCAACAGGCTATTTAGATAAACTAAGTTGTTTAATTGGCTCCACTGTCACGATCCTTTAACTGACAAAGCTTGTTTCTAATTGAGTTTGTGGGTTTGAGTGCCACTTTTATTCCTGCCTGAATTGTTAAGAATTCTGTGTAAGGTTTCCGAGGTTCCTTCTTTGTATGGAAGTACTACTGAGAGTGATTTGTATTCCCTATTGTTGGTATTGTCATTATTCTTCTTCAGGCTCTACACTTATAAATCCACGAATAATAGAGAGTACATATATAGCCAGCCAATAAAAGCAAATGAAAATGAAATCAGAAACTGTATTGTAGTGCATGTGTAAGTTGAGATGATAGTCCATTAGTTGACATAGTCAGTCACGTGTGTATAGGGTGTATAGTTAGAAAAAATGTGAAGTGTGAATGATTTACAATTTAGCCTCTCTCTATTTTATCATTAGATATTATCGGTCAGCCCTCACATTCAGTGCCTCCTTTGTAAATGTGTGTTCGTAAGTATTTTGTGGTTATCGCATTTCTCAGGCCCCAAGGACGCTTGTATTCTGTTGACTATAAAACAACACTATATCACTCAATTTGTTCACATTTTTTTCTGACTAAACACTCTATACACATTTAATTGACTATGCTAACTAATGGAATATCATCTCAACTTACACATACACCACAATACAGTTTCTGATATCATTTTCATTTGCCTTTATTGGGTGGCTATATATGTACTCTCTATTATTCATGGATTTATAAGTGTAGAGCCTGAAGAAGAAGTTACTGAAACCACAATTGTGTTCGCTCAAAATCTTGTTTTGATTTCAATATAGGGATTTTTCATTTACTGTTGTCATTATCCTGTGCATGTTTGACATGCATGTCTTCATTCATATTATTATAATTATCACTATCACTACCACTATTATTTATTTTAATTTTACATTTCCCTACATACTTTCTGACTAATTTATCAGGGTAATTATAAAGTTTTAGAGTTTCTCTTATTGTCTTAGATTTTCCTTGGTATTGCTTAGTTTTTGTGCTCTATTGTCACTTAAACATTTCACCAATCCTATTTTTACTTGACATAGGATGGGATGATTGGAATTCCAAATATCGGTTTCAATGTGTGTGGGTTTCCTGTAAACACCGGTGTGTGCTTAACTTTTCATCTTCTTTCCTTTTAACGTTACAATCTAACATTGGAAGTTCCCCTTCGTGACTTTCCAATTCATAAGTGAATTGAATTGCTTCCACCTTTGAGCTATCGAATCAACTGCAAACACGCGTAATAGGATTAATGTAACACCTGTTCACTCGGAAAATTCTACTACTCCTACGATGACAAATAGGAGAGAACAAAGAAAACTGTAAAACTCAAGTTTCGAAGTCGTGTGACTATAATTGATGACATGATTATGAAGAATAATGAATTGTGTTCTAAACTTCATCATCTAATATATCTAATAAACGAATTAATATGGAATTTATTCCTGGATCATTGAACTTCAGATTGTAAAGGGCTTGAAATAGAAATTCTTTAAGAGACTCGCATTATCTTCATGTCTATCTAGTATCCCAAAATTATGGTCCGAGAAATTACGGTATATTTGAGAGATGACACGATATTAGATCAGAAACGAGACCCGACTTCTAACCAGATCATAACTTGACTACAATCCTCAAGAGTAATGTTTTTACCTGTTACGTGATGATGCGTACACAGGGGGGGGGGAGGGTGATCGTAAACGGATGCTAATGACGCATTCATTCATACAACTGCATTTATAAACGATATTTTTTTTGTCAAGAAAGAGGGAATCAACAAAGGTGATAAATCATTTCAATCATAGTAGCTGATATTGATCAATGCATAAAAGCATTTGAGTAAGGATATTAGAACTACGTAAACCACAAAGTGATTGAATAATTTTCTTTTGTATGCAGAGCTCCAGTGTCTCTATCTAAATGACTACAGCCTCAACAACACAATGGAGATGAAAGCTTATTGTCCTTGGCAGATCGCTCTTAACTTTGTAGATTACTTTAATGGAGGAGTTTGCTCAGATAACAAAATGACCAGTGTTGACGACGTACTCAATTATCACACTCATTATACAACCTACTACTGCTTGCCTACAACCATGCAGGATAGTATTCTTGAATCCTTTTTAGAAAGGATACGCATCGAACTATCAGTACACGTAACTCTACAGGAATAGGCGTATAGGAGTGATCAGGCTTCTGTAGACCAGTGGACTACCGGAGAACACTATTCTTAAGAATATTACAAGTTCCCTTTGAAATCCAGGTTCATATTTAACCGTAGCTGGAAGATCAACAGATTGGTGACTGGGATGCCACTGGTTTTGAATCTCCTCATGACCGCCCTCCCTATCATCAAGATGTTCATTTCACTTTCATATATTCCTCACTCATGACATCAGAGAATAAATTGGGAATATTCAGTATTTGACTACAGAATCACAATATGCGACTATTGTGCTAACTTTTTTTTAAAATTTAACCGAGTAATTATCAGAAATAGGAAAGCAATCTTAGTATTTTTTTTTAAAATTTTTCTTTCCAGGTTAAAGTTTGGTTTCAGAATCGAAGAATGAAATTTAAACGAATGAGAAGTAAGTACTACTGTCTGATCTATTGACCATTGAATATTGAACGTTGAATATTGACCAGATACGGGGGGTTTTATTTGTGCGTTATTTTTGATTTCATGATATACTGGATGTTATCTAAGTTAAAGCTTTCCGTTAGAGGTGACTTTTAATGTATGCAAAAGTATCATCTTTAATGACATGCGTTTTTTTAATTTCGGAGTAGAATTTTCTCCTAGCTAAGCATATGGTTTGGTTCCCATTTCCGCCTAATCCCTTTCCAAATCCCACTTAATTGGTAGTAAATAAATCAGGAGCAGGCGGTGAAGGTTAGGCTTTAGGCTAGGCATCCTATCTCGTGAAACAAACCAACATCACCGCTAATTAAACTCTTATTTTCCAATCGGAAGGCTAGGAAGGAAAAATCAATCTTCAGTGATTCTGGGTTGACTGCTTCATGAAGAAGTACTTAAATGAATGTTTTGACGAATTTCAAATCAATCGAACATAAAAAGATAATCGGGTCCCAGGGGCTGAATGGTATACGAGCTAGCTTGCCTTGTAACCGAAAGGTCCTGGGTTCGAACCCTGGCGGTGGGTGGGTGTGTACTGCCGATGATTCCAAAACTAGGATGAAAAACAGCAGCTGTCCAGTACTCCCTGGTTTTCAATGGTTCTCTAACTGATATCAATCCGTGATCAACTCGTAAAAACATAACTAACCCTTACAAAAACCAAACTATAGAAAAAATTAAACCATTAAAAAATAACTAAACAATAGGGGATGGTGGTGCGTTGGTGGCATAGAGGTTAGGACGCTAACCGACCATGCACATGGTCCGGGGTTCGATCCCTGGCCAACGACACACTCCTTTATCTCGCTGAGCCAGAAATAATCCTGGTAAAGAGGAAAGGTTGGGCATGAGGCTGGCTAGCAACCCCATCCTGTAAAAAAAATTAAACACTGTTAGTGAAACTTCAAGCCACTAGCTTGAAGCCCTATGTCCCACTGGGGAACGTGAAGGAAAAAAAAGGATGGTGACTCGGTGGTTCGGCGGTAAAATATATCCTCCAACCAGACACATAGTTGGGGATTTGAATTCCGTCTGAGGCATTCTTAAATGTCGCTTAACTGATAGTAAGTCTAGTATGGAAGAAAAGTCGGGCGTGAAGCTAACAACCTCACCTCGTAAAAAAAAAAACATCGGCCAAGTTGAAGTACCACCACTCAGGAGTACCAATAACTTTGAATGAGATCTTCTTTGGGTCTAATAGCGCTCGCTTAAGCTGTCTTGCTTATTACTCATAAATGCTATAGCAACCGTAACAGAAGAAAGTAAATACAGAGTGAGTTATGCCATTTTCTCATAGCTCGCTTATATAACTATGGATGATTTTCTATAGTCTATAGAGGTTAAATTGTTTGGCAAGGATAACGATTTCATTAAATTTGATAGGTGTTAGCCTAATTTACAGCTGCCTACTGTTGATCAGCCCAAGAGGAAATCGAATTCGCCACCCTCACACGCCGAAATAACCCCATTATTTACTTATATATTTCTCTGAAATATCTTTCACTTTTTCAATAGATTTTAATTTATTTTTCTTAATGTTCGATTTCCGCTTTTATCCCTTTCTCCGTATAAACCCAATAGGTAGCAGTGTTTCCAAAGAAGATTCCTATTCAATACCCCTTCCATATGACGATGTATGTTCAAGTATGCAACAGCTTTGTTAGAAAAATAAATCAAATATTCTTTATAACAAAAATTTCATGAATGAAGTGGGACACAGAAAATTTCTTTTTTTGCCTTAATTTCGCCTTCTTCTTTTAATAAGATTGACTACTAGACTAACTCCACCCCCCTTAATGCTAATTTATTCCATTTTTCTACCCCTTGTTCTTCTCCCGCCCCCTACAATATTATCTGTGTAGGCGTGTGAGCGTGCTACCCTATTTGTGTGTGTGTGGGCATACTGGAGTGCGTAGGCGTATTTTTTATGCGTTACACTGTCTTGATCACTTGTAATTTTTCTTTAAGATTCTTTTTAATTACTTGTCAAAAAATATACAAATTATTTCACTAAAAAACAAAATTATGCCTTTTGAATTATTTTATGATAGGGTTCAACACTAGGATGCTAATTTCGTCCTATTTGAGAGTCGTCAACTGGCTGAATTTACCTGTAATCCTGGCTTTTGAAACTATACCTATTGGGTTCGAATCTCAGAGGGAACACTGTCACTGATTTATTGGGGGGGATTCAGGTTTTACCCCGACTGGCTAACAAGTCCCAAATAGGACGAAATGCACATTCCAATGTTAGTCACTATTTGTGACCAGTAGGGTACAGCAGGTCGGGTGAGAAGACAAATATTCGCCGAAGACATTGGCTGGGGGTCGCGCCATATCAGGAATTGGCAGAAGTTAGAATTCATGATGAACCGGCCATTGCGGAGTCAGGTCCCAGCGGCTTAATGGTCTACGAGCTAACTCGCCGGGCTTGTAACCAGAAGGTCCTGGTTTCAAACCCTGTCGATGGGCGCGTACTGATGAAGAGTCCCAAACTAGGACTAAACAGCTGTCCAGTACTCCCTGCAGGTTTTCCAATGGTCCTCTAGCCAATGTCAGCTCATAATGAAATCATGTAACCAATCAAATCCCTAAAAACTAATACTTGAGTAATAATTATAATAGTTTTATTTTGAATATTGTTCACATATCGTAGGGGATTTTTGATTGGAAGTTATTGCAGAATAATTTCTCTTTGTCTAGTATTTTCAAGTAAAATATTAATAACTGATAGCAGCATATCACATGAACTTCTGCTGTCTGATCTGATCAGCAGACAGATCCTTTATCATAGTTATTTTTTGTTGGTTGATAGCCAATTATATAAAACGACCAGGTGTACAATTTGAGACCTAAAGACATAACTTAGGTACAATTGTCTCATGTATTGGAATACGTTGCCATCCATGCGATCATAATTCCACTCAGGTTTAGTAGAAATTTGAGAATATAAAGCAAGTTGTAAGCAATTTAAATACCCATGAGAGTAAATAATACTATCAAATGTTATATTAATAATAATGATAATAATAATTTGCTTTATTCCAAAACAGTACTTGTGATACAGAATGGAATTCTCAGCATTTTACTACAGTATTGCATCCAGTGTGTACATTAATAATAAGTAAAATTCTACATAGATTAAGGGTAGTCTCAGTTTATTATGACAACAACATATTGGCATGTCGGTAGCAAAGCCAAAAATTGAACAGAGTGTTTGAAGCTGTTAGAAAAGTAGATACTACTAGCATATTTACTGGCTTAAGCAGAAGAAAGTAACAAAGGAGCACACAACAGAAGAAAGAGAGAGAGAAAAGGAAAAGAAAGAAAGGAAACGTTGTCCCGATAAATGATATGAGCTGTAAAGACGAGATCCAGTTGTTCTACTGACTATTTAATAAGTTATAGGTATCACGCCTAATGCTTTCTTTATCGCATAGAACACGAGCTATGTAGGGTATGGTTGAGTTTTTGTACTTACTAGTGCGAGCATATAGTTTTCCATATAGGCTTCTGGTTCTGCCTGCCTGATGAGATACACGGGAGAGTTATGAATGAAGAGGGTGGTGTAAGTTAGATAAAATGGATTTTGCCCATTTTTCAGATTAAAACAAAACGACTGCGAGAAAGTATATACAGTATCATGATGAAGGTGTTCGGTAGCCCAAATTTTGAACAGGCCACCAAGAACATGCTAAGAATGATTTATTTCCAAATTCCAGTACGCAGTGGTATCAATTAGACAAGCATCGGAAACCAATAGGAAGTATTGGATAACAAGTGGTTTTATTATAGTTGTTCTGGAGACTCTTCAGCAGTATGTACCCATAACTCTATAGTCAGGGATTTCACCAAGGACCTTCAGGTTATGAGGTCAAGCTTAAACTTGAAACCAGAATAATTGTTTACGGAAGGACACCTGAAAATCTAGTGCTCGCTAGGGATTGATTGACTAAAGAACAAAGTTGACTAGAGTTCTGGTGATGTATCATGACCAGTGGGATCCACCAGGTTGAAGTATAAGGAGAAATACTCACCGATGATATTAGCAGAGTTGAAGGGCCTGCATTTGGTCCCTAATTAGGGTTGTACTTATGAAGAAGGCTAAACTAGAACCAAACAGCTGGCTGTCCATTACCTTCTGCAACCCAAGTGAGTGATTGTTTTTGTAACGGTCAAAAACCTGAATATTTTGTTCTGAATACAAGAAACCAGTCAGCGTAACTAACTCAATACTGAATGAAACGATGTGTAACTCAACAGCAGATGATATTTGCTTTATTTGTATCCTCTTAATTAGCTGGTCGATTTGTGGAATTTTCACTGAATTTGTAATGACTGAGACTAACCTGTTGTGATTTGAACGCAGGAAACCGATCTTTGCATTCTATTGTATAGCTGATCAAAGCTTCCTTGAATTACTTACAGGTACAAAATGCTGCAAAGACGTTTCCACTTTGCTCTGTTTTCTGCCATCCTCTTCAACTGGCTAGCCAGACAAGATTGACCAAGACTCTCTCATCTCCTCGTCACCACACAATCTACTCCTTGCCTAGTTAACTGGCTTGCTACTTTTCTAGCCTGCCCCAAGCTGGGTAGAGGCATGACTGGGCATAGGGCTAACAAGCCCACATCACTGAGTCTTTCAAACTGCTAGAGAAACTTCAACACACAGGAAAAATGTTAAAAATACTATTTAATAATAATAATACCTCGAAATCACCTCACCAGCTCTGTTAGACAGCTACATAGATCAAACTGCATCTCAGTTACCAACTAAGTACTCGTCAACAGAATTATTTAATCATGTCAGCTGTAAAAACCACCTGGCAATCAAGAATAATACTCTCAACAAAATGGGATCTGAAACTCTGTTAGTAAGAATCACACACCAAACAATTCCTGCAGACAAACAAAATTGCAGTTGAAAGTCAACACATTGTGAATATCATCATACAATCCTAAAGTGAAACATTAAATTTACAGATTGAGCAGGAACAAGGACAAACAATAAGGATTAAGTCAATAGCTGATATGCAAAGAACAAAAAAAAACAAATCAACGAAAAAAATTTTCTTTATCGACGAAATCATCTTCAGAGTCTGTACAGTTGTATTTATACTTGCCAAAAATATATAGTGGTCTATTATTGAGTAATACGGGTGGGTGACATAATTGATATAATTACTCGGAAGTCGCTTTAGAAGTAACAAATAAAAGTTGTAAATTACGTGGTACTTAACAACGACACAAAGTTAGGAATTTGATAAGACTAGAATTGGTCTTGAGTGAGAATAAAGATGCTATTTGAGTGTCAATTTAACAAGTGTGAAGAGGGTGTGAAAATATACGAAAGGAGCATATGAAAGTGAGAATAGTGAATTAATTAATAAAAGCAAAAGTAAACTAAAAGTAAAATTAAAATTAAAAAAGAAAAGAAGAGGTTAAGACCAAGGTAGAATAAGCGACTGGACAAACTTTGTTGAATTCCTTATTACATAAGAAAAATTGTGCATCTCAACAGAAACTCCTTCACAGAAGATACAAGGAAGATAAACGTTGACATTTCGTCTAATAATTTCTACACATATAAAATCTACCGTTTCTCATAGGCGAATAGAAATATAAACCTTTCCAAATGAAAATCTAAAGTACATAGGATGACAGACAGTACGTTACGAGTGAATAAGGCGAATATTCCACGAAAACATTTGTAAAACCAAAAAATCGAAACGATTAATTCCGCGTTTGTCAAACTGGTCCGAGCTTCTTCAGGGAAATTTATCGAAATTAACATAACAGACGTTTATATGCAGAAAAGGGGGACATATCTTGTGTTTTTTAAAAGGACTGTGTCCCCAGTCATATGAGTCATGAAACAGGTAACAACATGTATCACAGACAAAATTGTATGAGCTGTGATCAAAATTTAACCTGAGACTTTCAAATCTTGTTAAACACTTTAAACAGAGTGTACTTTTGCATCAGATTACGTTCGACCAAAAGTTCATGGTCGTAGCTAACTGAACATGAAAAATAAATACGCATATGGTGTGTGTGGGGGGGAAGATGGGTGGGTGGGTGTATGTAAACAGTCATAAAACATTTGTTAGCCTCTCCATACGAAGATATAGACAATCAGGAATTTAGACCAATTAGGATTAATTAGTGATTCATATCCATTTTTTATTTATTAATCAGGATTTGCCACGCATCAGCTGACACATGCCACACCTTCACGTCTGTTCAAACTGTTGGAATTCACCCATATATATATATGTAGGGCTTCTACAGTCAGTATTTCTTTATACGAACCAAAACCTTTCTGTAGAACCTTAGTCCTATCAAAGTCGACATTTTGTCTCGTTTCTATTGAGTGCAGTGCAATCGCTAACCTGTTTTCTAGCTTCTTTAAATCTGCAGAGGTCTTTAGAACTACCTTTAGACATTGTTTATGCTCTTTCACTCTTATATTTACCTATTTGGAAGTTTCTCCTACATATACAGCGTCACAGTCCCCACAATGGATCTGGTACACACAATTCTGTTGGGTTTACTTCTTCTATTTTGCCATCCTTAACCTTCACCAGTGATGAGCGTAAAGCGTTAGTTGTACCAAAATACACTTTTTTATGTTATGATTTTTGAGGATTTGCTTTATTTC